GTGGCTGCAAAATACAGCTGTCCTTTCTGCCCTGAAACTGAAACTAGGGACTGCCTTCCTGCAAGTGCCCACAGCAGGCAGATTCCTCTGCTTTGCACTCACCAGGTGTGTGCTAGCTCCTTCTCCCCTGCAATAGTGGCCCAGCCCAGGTCAGCACACTGGGGGCTGGCTCAGGGCATGGACCTCTTTTTGAGGTCTCTACTCCCCTCTGCCTCAAGGCAAATCTAGCTGTCTACTTGGGATGATGAGAGTATGTCATGGAAGTTTCCAATTTTAGGGATTCTTAACCTTTTTGCATGTCATGGAGCCCTTTGGTGTCAGTCTGGTGAAGCCTATGGACTCCTCAGAATAATGCTTCAAATGCATACATAACCAGCTTTGTGCATGCCCTGTCACCTAAGATGAACAGGGCTAGGGTCATAAGGCAGAGGGAAAGATGGAATTGTAGTAACTTGTGGCAAGACGTGGCTGACTGCCAGGACCCTGGGAGTGACAGCTCTTCCCAGCTTGGGAGAAGAGTAAGAGGCAGGAGATCAGGAGTGGAGGGCAGGGGGTTTATATACAGCAGGACAAAAAAGAGGAGAGGGCAGCACGGTCAGGGCCAACAACACCTACACTTCTCTTCTTCCAGCTCAGAGATGACCCCTCAATGGAGAGGTCTGTGGATGCAGCACTCAGTCTGATAGAAGGGGTGCTGACAGGAAACAGACAAGAGCACAGGGGCCCCCTGACCCCAGCACAGGGATGTCATTTTGGTCTTCTTCGAGAACTAAGGCAGACAACCAATGCCTCTCCTCTACACGTGGTGGGCTTCTGTTCTGGCAAAGAATATACTTGAGGGATTTAGTGACATTCCTCGTAAACACCTGTGGTTGGCCCCAGACCTTCTATGTCCTGGTGTATCTTTGCAGCCTGAGAGTCACACAGGAAGAGTGCCTTCCTGGCTCAGGGGTGGGAATCCCTCCAAGCCATTATGAGAGTGATAAAAGGATGACAAACCCTTCGTCTTTAGTGTGCACTCCAGACCTTCTCCGCCAGAAACCCCTTCATGCTGGTAGCTCACCCCATCCCTGGGCCTCACACAAGCACCTTCTGGCCCTATGGCTTCCCCCTCTGATTGGATGGCTCCTCCCAGAATTCATTCAAGGAGGGTACCCAGGCCGGCCAGAGCCTCCGGGCTACTCTCTGGACCTCCTCCATCGGGCTCCTGCACTAGGTGCCCCCCCTTAAGTTTCCTGTATGTGTTGGCTTCCCCCATGAGAATGTAAGCTCTTTGAGGGCAGAGACTATTCCTTCTGCTCGCATTACCAGCACTTAGCACAGTGCCTGGCACACAGTACTGTGTAGCAAATGCTTATTGACTGATAAAGAAATTTCAGAGTTCATACATATGGAAGTCAAACATTCATGAGCCATGGGAAGATCAAGGGGGTGGCCATCTCAAGAAGAGTCAAGACGTGATGAGCACGTTTGAGTAAGCAAATAATCTGACCATGCCTCTGGGCATTTTCAAAAGCAGAGGAGTTTATAAGTTACTCAGTCCAGCACCAAAACGGTTAAGTGTTTCCAGGTTCAGGAGCCCCTTGAGGACACGGACCCTTGTGCCTGTGTCCAAGGGCAGCAAGTTGAGGGGAGCGGTACATTAAGCCCAGAAGGGGGTTACGCTCTCCCCCAGGGTCCATAGCATCAGAATAACTAGAAGAGTTTGAGAAAATGTGCAGCCAGGAGCAGGGAGAGACCAGTCGAGGACAAACAGGGACATAGAAAGGTGCAGAAAGACAGCCACAAGAAGAGAAATAGCTTCAAGGCATATAACTCTCTGAACTAAATAAATAGAAAGAACTGAAATGAAAAATGTTGGCTTTGGCCTCAAGAAAGGACCTTCAGGAACCAGTGATTGTGAGTTTACCCACTGGCCACCCATGCTCTTCATGTGTGTTCCCCACCACCATTATATTCTAAGGTGAAGCCCACTCTTCACTGGATTTGTGGGTAATACATCCCAGGCTTTTGGGACTAAATGTCTCATTTCACCTGCTCCTAATATACCACCTTAGCAAGCACCTTTGCTAAAAGCAGCTGATTGAATCTATTAGCCAATAGATCGCCAACTGGAAGAATATTGGTGGGAGTCAAATACCTCCCCCCACCATTCCAGGTCCTTGGAGACCCAGAACTCTGAGGAGAGGGGAGGAGTCAGCAGCCTTCAGCCCCCTGGCTCACCAGCACCAAAGGGGTTCAGGAGCCCTAGAGAGGAGAGGAAGCCCTCACCAGGGACAGGAAACAAACAGCCAGGAGTTCAGGAGTGGGGAAGCAAGTCATCAGCTTCCAGTCTGAGAATCCACATGACAAAGACATGCAGAGATGTCTCTGCCTGCCATTTTCCTCCTGCTAATGGTCTTGCTCTGTTCCATTTAGTTCCTTTCTGTCTCTTTTTCAGATTCCTGGCCCAGGGAACACACGGTCTATGGCTCTGACTGCCGACTGTCTTCTTCCAGGATGAAAAGCGAATGTCGTCCTCACGGGACCAAACTTCTCAGAATTCACATGTAGGCTTCAGAACATTTTCCAGAATTGTTAGAAAAATCTGAAACTAAAATCTAATACAGGAGTGAGTGAAGGAAAGCCTTTATTAAGCGTCTCGAGAGAGAAGCAGGTACCTGGGTGCTGATTCAGTGGTAGAATCAACTTTAAAATAGTAAGATCCATACTCCACCCACCAGGGCTAGGATTGGTCTAGTTCATCTGAGTTACACTCTTCCTGGACAGCCCATCCCACATTCCTCCATGTTCTGTTAACTCCTCCTACTTCATGCGTCTCATGTTCAAAAATGATGGGTGTGTCAGTTCATATTCAATAAGTTTATTAAGCAAGTGCAGTGGAGAAAAGCCTTTGCCCTGTCGAGGCCCGTCCTTGACCCTGATGGGTTGCAACCAGTTTAGCCTCCAGGGCCCTTTCTTAAGGATTTCACTGTTTGCAGAATGCCTGGGGCACTTTCTGATTGGCTGAGGGACTAGCCACAAGATCTTGGAATTTCTTATCCTGCTGTGGAAGCCCAACCCCCTAAAGCCTTTCTTACAAGTCTCAGCCTATGGTAGGGAGAAAAGCATCCAATCCCTTTAGGACACATTTCTCTTCCATGGTTTTGGATTAAACCAAATCTGATTCTAATCCTAAATCCAACGGATTTAATAACGTCTCTCTGCTGATGATTCTCAGATCTCCCAATCCTGCCCCCACCTCTCTTCTGACCTCCAGTCTCACATCTCCAGCTGCCTCTCAGACAGCTCCAACTGGACATCTATCCAGTGCACATCAGAAACTCAACGTGTGCAAAACTAAAGTCGTTCTCTTAGCCCCTAAACTCTCATTGATGCCCTCTCCCCCAGCCACCTTCCCTATTACTGATAGCAGCTAGGGGAAACCACAGTGTATAGAGTGCTGGCCTGGAGTCAGGAAGACCTGAATTCAAATCCAGCTATAGACACTTCCTAGCTGTGTGGACTTGGAAAAGTCACTTAACCTCTGTTTCCTTCAGTTCCCTCATCTGTAAAATGGGTATAATAATATCATCCACCTCACTGAGTTGTTGACAGGATCAAATGAGATAACTGTAAAATACTTAGTACAATGCCTGCCACATTGTAAAGGTCATATAAATGTTAGCTATTGCTATTATTGTTATTTTGTTACCATCTAGAGCAACACCAGGGGCAGATGGGTGGCATAGTGGATGGAGTGCCAGGCCTGGAGTCAGGAAGACTCATCTTTGTGCATTCAAATCTGGCCTCAGACATTTACTAGCTGTATGACCCTGGACAAGTTATTAACCTTGCTTGCCTCAGTTTCTTCATCTGCAAAATGAGCTAGAAAAGGAAGTGGCAAACCACTTCAGTATCTTGCCAAGAAAACCCCAAATGGGGCCACAAAAAGTTGGACAGGACTGAAATGACTGAAAACAACAAGAATGCACCCCCATCTTCCCAGTGCCTCAGGGTTCAACCTATGAGTCATCCTAGACTCCTCACTCTCTCTAGCCTTCCTCGTACATCTGTTGCCAAGGCCTGTCCATTTCACTTCTGCAGCATCTCTGGTCCATTTCACCTCTGCAGCACCTCTGGTCCATTTCACCTCTGCAGCATCTCTGGTCCATTTCACCTCAGCTGCACCTCTGATCCATTTCACCTCTGCACCATCTCTGGACCATTTCACCTCTGCAGCATCTCTGGTCCATTTCACCTCTGCAGCATCTCTGGTCCATTTCACCTCTGCAGCATCTCTGGTCCATTTCACCTCTGCACCATCTCTGGACCATTTCACCTCTGCAGCACCTCTGGTCCATTTCACCTCAGCTGCACCTTTGGTCCATCTCACCTCTGCAGCATCTCTCCAATATTCCCCCTGTCTGACACTTCCCACCCTGGTGCAGACCTTCATCACCTCACACCTGGACTACTGCAATAAATAACCTCCTTGGGGGTGGGGTTGGGGGGGGTCTGCCTGCCTCAGTCTCTCCCCTTCCAGTCCATTTTCTTTTCAGTCACTACAGTGATTTTCCTAAAGCACATGGCCGACATCCCCCACCCCTAACTCAATAAACTCCAATGGCTTTCTGTCTCCTCCAGGATCAAATGCAAAATGATTTCTTTGTCATTCAAAGCCTTTCATAACTTGCGTTCCCTTTCAAATCCTTTTACACCTTACTCCCTTCTACAACTTCTTCAAACATTTGCCTTCTTGACGTTCCACCAACAAGGCACTCCATCATCAGACTCTGAGCATTTTGTCTGGCTATTCCTCATGCCTGGAAGAAGCAGACATGAGAGGAGCCAGCAGTCTCTATCATGTCCCAAACCTCAGCTTGATACGCTGGAGACTTCATCTGGGACTCTCTCTCGGATGAGCTCTCTCCAACGGGAGAGCTTCTTCACTCTGCAGAGCCTGGCATATATTCTCCTATGTATCCTTTCTCTGACTTCTAGTTTGTTATGGACTTGGATATTTTTCTTTTTGCTACTTCCTATGTGTATTGGCATTTGGTGCGGTGAGAGTTACGCCTTGAATATAAAGCTTGGGGAGCTGCTCCTCCAATGAATGAAACAATGACCAGAAGCTAGATTGAACCTGATTACTCCACCCCCAGACTAATGTCTAAGGGTCAAGCTTCTGGCTCCGACCTCCTGCCCGGCCTCCCGGCAGACAAGGGCTGGGTAAGAGGCTGGATATTCCTATTCCACCTCCCTCTGAACCACCAATGATACCCCAATGCTTCATGGAGGGGGTGGGGAAGAGGAAGGACAGTCTTTGCTACAAGCCTAACACAGCCTGCAATCCAGAAGTTCTAGAGGGACTCAACTACACGCTTTGACTCTGAATAGCCCAAGTTACAGAAAGAGACGAGCTCCAGAACAGCAACTGCCCACTTAAACGCACAATTCTCTCAGGACACGCTCGGGGCCTGCAAACTACATTTCCCAGAAGGGAGAACGCAGAAGCTCAGGGCGGGTTTCCGGGAAGGTCTCCATGGCAACGGCACTTCCGCCCCCTAACTGGCAGCACCCATCCAGGTCGAGTCCCGCAGCCTCGGTTCTGCTTCAACCTGAGCCGCCGCCATGGCTCGAGCCTTAGAGCTGGCGCCGGGGTAAGTGGAAGCCGGGCCCAGGGCCGGAGCCAAGCGGACGGGGGGAACCGGGTTGGGCCCCGGGCACTGTGCACCTGTTGCCCAGGCCAACAAAGAGGAAAAGTGGGCGTGGTGTGGGGGAGGACTTTAGAGAATCACCGGCCTTGACCGGCGATTGACACCTAGCCCCGCCTTTAGCAGCGTCCTTAGCGACGTCCCTCCGCGAGGAGGAGCACTCATTGGCTGGCCCTTGGGCCCAGGAACCAATCAGCGACTTCGCTGCTTCCCTGCCCCTCCTAATGGGAGTGCAGGTACCTAGCTGGCTTCGCGAAGGGGACAAAGAATAGGCGGGTGCAGGGAGCAGAGACACTGCTGATTGGCTCCCACGGCCTCAGGTCGTCCAATGGGTGCGCTAGAGGACGGAGAGTTCTATGCTACAGACCTCCCAGATGCGGGCTTTTGTGTGAGTCACTGTCTGGCTCCTTCACCTGCAATGGCTCCCCGGTGCCTTAGGGGAGACCCCCCCCCAAGGCCAGCCTCCTTTCTCAGGGCACCCCACACTGCTCCCCCTCTTCCATCCACTATGGCTCCCCAGTGCCTTAGGAGAGACCCCAGCCCCCTCAGCCCCCCAGGGCTAGCCCCCTTTCCCTGGGCATTCCACACTTCCCTGCCTCCCATGGCCACATCCAGCCAGACTGCATGCCCCTCCTTCCTGGCCGCTCTCCACGCCCTCCCCCACATCCTTGGCATCCATAAGCCTGTCCCGGGTCTGCCCGTGGTGCCCCGGGGTGGTGGGCACACGATCCTGGCTTTCTCATGGCTCCCTTTCCATTCTCAGCTCTGAGTCGGCCCCAGAGGAGGAGGGGGACATGGCACCCATGCTCCAGACCACAGGGACCCCCCTGGTGAGTGAGTGACCGCCTGTCTACCCGTGGCCCTTCTCTCGCGGAGCCCGGGGCTTGAGAGCTGCCCCACATTCTGGGGGAGGGGAGGCCCCGTGGTCCCGAGAGGGTCAGGGAAGGTCCCCGGGGAGGTGGGCGGCATAGCCAGGGCGGACCTTCCAGTCTCCGGGCCCTCAGTGGGCCCTCCCTCGCCTGTCCAGGCCCGAGCACGCCGCACTGACCCCAGGCCCCGGGATGGGAGCCTTCTGGGAGGCCAGGCAAGGTGTGCTTTTTGGCCGGCATTTCCCAGGTGAAATGACTACGGTTCAGTGGAGTGAGCTCTTGGGGGCAGAAGAAAGGGTTCTCCAGCTCAGCACACTCTTTGGTGTTTCAGAAACCGGTGACGTTCAGAGACGTGGCCGTGACCTTTAGCCCGGAGGAGTGGGGGCACCTGGGGCCCTCTCAGAAGGAGCTGTACCGCCAAGTGATGCTGGAGAACTATGGGAACCTGGTGTGCCTGGGTGAGGACCCCCGCTGCTCCTTGGCAGGGCCGGCCACAGGGAGGGCACGGGTCGCCGGGAGATGGGACCTTCCTCGGAGCCCTGGTGCGGGGGCCTCCCCGTGGCGCACCCCCCTGCGGCGTCTCCCCTGAAGTCCCAGCCCAGGCCCCGCACCCTGCAAGGCTCTGGGCCCATCTCCCCTCCAGTGGGGCGTGTCTCTGAGCTCCCCTTCCCCATTTCCCCGAGCAGGACTTGCCCTTTCCAAGCCTGACGTGATTGAGCAGCTGGAGCGAGGGGAAGCCCCTTGGAGGCCAGAGGCAGATGTCCCAGGAGGCAGCCACGCAGGTGAGTGGGGCGCCCCGGGCAGGGGAGACCCCCTCAACTGTCCTTCCCACAACCAGCTGGTTCCCTCTCCTGCAGCCCCATGCCTTGGACACTGGGCCGGCACTGAGTCCTGTTCTGGCATCGTTGCTCATTTCACTTGCATGCCTCTGATTGCTCCAAACTTGAATGGGGTAGCCTGCGGTCTTAGATCCTTTCAGCTTCTTTTCCCAAGAACTACCCATTCCCCGCCATTTTAAAATGAAGATTTGCGGGCTCTCAGCTGTAGAAGGATGTTCTGAATCACTCACAGAAAGACAGATTAAGACAAGTGGCAATTCATGTCTTACCGAGAGTATTTGTAAGGATCCCAGAGACAGATGTAGTCACTTTTGTGAGAACTTTGGGGAGATGAGTCCAGTCAGGCCCAGGCTGTAGCTTAGAACTAGTCCTTCCAACCTAAAAAACCATTTGGCAGACACTTGACACTTACTAGCAGTGCGGCCCTGGGCAAGTCACTTAATCCCAATGGGGCCTCACCAAGAGGGAAAAACAAACAAAAAAAAATTGGAATCCCATGAGAAGGTTCCTCAAGTGCCCATATCCTTTGTACCGGGAGTTGTCGTGCTGGATGTATCCTTGTGGGAGATCAGCCATGCAGGGAGAGGTCCCAGGTCCATCAGAGTGTTAGAAATCCTTCTGGGGCAGCCAAGGATGGAAAACAGATGGGGTGCCCATCCATGGGGGGATGGTGGGAAAAATACTGGGGTGTGAGGTGCCTGTGCCATTGAGCAGTGATGAAGGGGGAGGATGCAGAGGAAGAGAGGAGATTTGTGTGGATTGATACAGAGTAAGTCAGTCACATCCCGAAAATGACTTAGTCGTAGCTTCATCTTCTGGTGCAGATCTCTCTGAACCAAGGCATTGTCTACCTATGTTCAATGAAACTTGGGAACAAAGCTGAGCCTTGAGTTTTAGGGTTGCCAGTAGAACAGCAGAACATGGAATTTCAGGGCACTGGGAGAACCATTCTCTTTGCTCTTCAATTTTATTTTTCATTCTGAACTTGAATCCCCAAAGAGACAGAGTATATTCATGGGCACAGAACCACACAAAAAATGGCTCACATTCCCCATGTGACTTGGAATCCTGCCTGGCATTTCCTTCTGTTCCATTGTGTGCGTTTTTATCGTGTTTCAGGGGCCCTCTCTCTGTCTCTCTCTTTTTTTTGCACCACTAATTCCCACCCTTTCTCCCCCAAACCTTCCCGCCTCTCCAATTAAAAACCAAGAAAAAGGGAGCCCTTCGAACAAACGAGACAGATGTGTGTGAGTCTGTACCTGGATCCAACCGCTCTGTGTCGAGAAGGGAGTAACAGCCTTCATTCTGCATCCCTGTGGATGGTCATCGCCTTGGCCCACTGAGTGTCCAGGACTCCCTCATTTTCAGGCACAGGAACATTCACTGCATGGTGACAGTCTGTCACACTCACACCCCCAGTCGGGGGAGGCCTGCTGCATTTCTGATTCCTGCTGCTGGAAGTATTCTTGTAGATAGGGGTCCTTCCCCATTCAGTCTGGGGGCAAAATTACTGAGTCAGGGGGTTTAGGTTTAAACGAGTCTTCAGTCCAGCAAGAATCATCTTCCTTTTCTCATCTTGGGCAGTCCGGTGGGCGTGAGGTGACACCCCAAACTTGTTTAATGTGCATTTCCTTTAATGTGGTTACTTGAGTAGATTATTTAATAGTTATTTTCCTATGGTTTTTGATAGTTTGGGTTTCTCCACTTGAGCACTGCCCATTCACATCATTTGACCATTTATCATCTCAGGAATGGCCCTGCTTCTCTATTTGAACGTTTCCTCTATATGTAGGATATCAGACCTTAATCAGAGAGACTAGTAAAGATTTCTGTTTCTAGTTCACTGTTTTTCTTACAATTTTACCCACGTTGATTTTGTTTGTCCATGAGCTTTTCAATCTTATATGATCCAAATTGTCCATTTTGTCTTCTGTGTTCTTTTCTGTCCTCTATTTGGTCAAGAATGCTTCCCTCATCTGTGGTGGCAAAAACTCCCTTCCTGTCCCCCTGATTTGTTTGCAGTGTGTCCTCTCCTATTGAAGCCATAAATCTCCTGGGAATTAGTTGTGGTATGTAGTGTGAACTCCTGCCAGACTCCTTTCTGTTCCTCCTAGCCGCATCTGGTGAAGAGTGAGCCCTACCCAAGGGATTTATCAGGCTGTGCGAGTGTGTTCATCTGTCTCTGTTTTAACCAATACTAAAGGAATTTAGTGAAGACCACTGTATTTTAATTTGAGATCTGGCACTGCTGTCCCTCTCAACTTCCCCTTTTTTGGGGATTCTTGATATTTTATTCATCTAGAGGAATTTATCATCTTTTCAGTTGTGTAATAGCAGCCTTTGGTCATTTGAATGGTATGAAATCTGAATGAGTAAATTAACATATATGGTACAGTCCTTCTTATTATATTGGCACAGCCTAGCCAAGGGCACAAATATTTCTATAGTTTTCTTTAGATCCGTCTTTATTTTTGTAGAGTGTTTTGTAGTCAGTAAGTCGGTCAGTAAGCATGTATCAAAGAGCCTGCTATGTGCCAAGCACTGTGCTAAGTGCTGGGGAACTCGGAAGGGCAAAGGCCCATCCCTGCTCCCAAGGAGTTCCCAGTGTGATGGGGAGACAAGCCGTGTACCAGATAATAATGAGTAGAGGGGAGATCACAAAGGCTTCTTGTGGGAGGTGCGAGGTTGGCTGGAACTTGAAGGAAGCCAGGGGTGCCAGGATGGGGAGAGAAGGAGGGAGAATGGCTGGACAGACAGAACGCCCAGGGTCCCACTCAAGGGCCATCCAGGAGGCCAGGGTCACCAGAAGAGGGGAAAGGCCCTGACCGCCGGGGATCATCTGTTTGAGCTGCAGATTTCTGAATGGAGGTTTGACAGAGGCTGGAGGCAGGTAGAGAGTGCACAGGCTGTGGTAGTGGGGTGAGTGTAAGGTAACAAAGGCCTGCATCACTCACAGTGCCGGCTACTTCAGAAGAGAGGAAGAGTCACATGTGCAAGAGGTTAGGAAGATAAAATCAGCCATCCTTGGCAATTGGTTGGATAGAGTGGAGTGAATGAGATTGAGGAGGTGAGGATGGCACCTTGGGTGGGCCTGGCTGAATGGGAGGATGGTGGTGCCCTCAACAGTAACAGGGACGTTTGGGAGGGGGGCGTCTGGCGGCAGGGCCATGAGCTGCATTTCAGACGTCTGTAGAGCATCCAGTTTGAGAGGGCCAAGGAGAGCTGGAGATGTGAGCCTGGAGGCCAGGTTAGGGCTGGATAAGTAGATTCTGAGAATCCTTAGCAGAGATAATAATTGTGACTGGGGGGCTGATGGAATCACCACGTGAAATAGTATGGAAGGAGAAAAGTGGGCAGAGCCTGGGGAATCTATGGTTAGTGGGTGGGACCTTCGTGGAGATCTAGAAGGAGGGAGCGGGCAGGGAGAAGGACAAGGGTACCAGCAGGCTCAGGGAAATGCAGGGAATGACAGTGTCAGAGGCTGCCTAAGGACATGCTGAATGAGGATGGAAAAACAGGCCATTAGATTGGCAGTTAAGAGAGCCTTGGTAGCTTTGGAGAGAGCAGATCAGTGCAATGATGACATTGGAAGCCAGACTGTAGGAAGTTAAAAAGAAAGAAAGTGGAGGGACTTGTAGATATCCTTAACAAGGGGTTTAGCCTCACAAGGGAGGGGGCAGAAGGGAGGTGTCTTTTTTTGTTTTTAATGATACTTTGCTATTTTCCCAATTACACATAAACATTTTTAACATTTTAAAAAAAATTTTGAGTTCCATGGGGCAGCTAGGTGGTACAGTGGCTAGAGCACCGGCCCTGAATTCAGGAGTACCCGAGTTCAAATCCAGCCTCAGACACATAAAACTAGCTGTGTGACCCTGGGCAAGTCACTTAACCCCATTGCCTAGCAAAAAAACCCCAAAAAACCAAACAAACAAATAAAATAAAATAAAATAAAATTTTGAGTTCCAAGTTCTCTCTCTCCCTTCTTTCCTTCCCTCACCCTGAGACAGTAAGAAATTTGATACAGGTTATACATGTGCAATCTTGCAAAACACCTTACATATTAGTCATGTTGTAAAACTACCCTTCCCAAATAAAAAAACCCATGGAAAAAATTAAGGGAAAAATATTATGTTTCGATCTTCATTCAGACTCCATCAGTTATTTCTCTGGATGTGCATAGCATTTCCCATCCTGAGACCTTTGAAATTGTCGTGAATAATTGCATTACTGAGGAGAACTAAGTCATTAACGGGTGACCATACAGTGTTCCTGTTCCTGTATACAGTGTTCTCTTGGTTCTGCCCATTTCGCTCAGCATCAGTTCATGTAAGTCTTTCCAGGCCTTTCTGAAATTGTCCTACTTGTCATTTCTTACAGCACAATCGTGTTCCATTACATTCATGTACCACAACGTATTCAGCCATTCCCCACTTGATGGGCCTTTGAGAGGGGAGATACCTAATGTGGATGGATGTTTCAAGGGATGGGTTTTTAGAATGAGAGAAACATGTGCATGTGTGAAGGCAACAATGCAGTGACCATTAGACAAGGACAGAACTGAAGATATGAGAGAGGATGGGGATGGGGAGGCAGTCGCCTTGTTTCCCTAGCATCGTGGAATGGTGTCTGTCCTCTTCCTGTGGAAGGCAGAGAAGTCTGCTTCACAGTCACGGGGAACAAGGGGGCTTCTGGGACTGCCAGTGTCTGCCCACGTCCTGGCATTTCTACGGCTTTTTAGATAGGCCACTGACTGGTTGACTTTTTCCATCTTTTCCTGCTGAAAGTTGTAATGAGTTTATAGAGCAGATGGTTTAGATTTTTTTTTTATGTCCTCCTACCTTGCCAGAGTTATTGTTCCAGTTCATTTTGGGTTGAATTCATAGGTTCTCTAAAGAGACCATCAGAAGGTCTCATCTTTGCCCATGCCCTGAGTGTAGCTGGCTTTTTCAAGGGTCACAGAGGGCAGATGAGGTAGAGGGTGATGGTTGTGATGAGAGAATCAGGTGAGTTTTTTGCTTGAGAGGGGGGAGACATACGAGCACGTTTGTAGGCAGTGAGGAGGGAGCCAGGAGAGATTGAAGACAGAGTAGGATGATAGTGCAGTCTGCTACAGAGGAAGGGAACAAGGGCCCTGGCAAGGAAAACGAGCCCCCTCTTCATGTAAGATAGGAGTAAAGTGTAGGAGAGAGTGGAGGAAGATGTCTGAGCCATGGGAGTTAAGGAGGAATGGGGATGGGGGCCTCATTTTTTTTTTAGTGAAATATGTGATGAGGTCCTCAGTTGAGAGGGGAATAAAAAGGGGCACATTGGTAAGGTTTAAGGGGAACAAGAACATTTGGAGCAACTACCGTGAAGGGTGGGATAGCAGATTGACTGTGGGGCAGTAGAGGGATGTCCTTGCTGCTGTGAGCACCCATATGAGACTCAGCATTGATTTGTGTGGGACCCTGGCATTGTGGTTCTGTGACTTTCTCTAGCTTCCTGCAGTAGCCTGTGGGTATGAGTGAAGGAGGCATATGGTGAAACCAATCTAGGGTTGGAATTTAGCAAGGCATGGTAAGTGATAGGACAGGGAACTCAGAGGAGGAGAGAGGATAGAATTGAATCAGCTCCCCAATGGGTCACAAGACAGAAGAGAGGAGAATGTGGCCAGTGCAGAAATGGGGGCCTGAGAATAAACGGGTGGGGGGAGTGGAGCTCCTGGTGAGGTCAAAGAAGAGTTACAGGTCATAAGTCATAGGGGAAATGGACTGAGAAATGATTCTTATCAGACAAAGGAATTACTGAACTCTTGCCTGTGGGAGTGGAATGCTTGGGGTGGGTGATGGTAGGACCTTGGGTATGACTGCCTTTTTGTGTAGCCAAACAGGCCTTGGGGGTGGAATAGACTGACAAACTGGGAAGGCCAAGTACTTGAGGGAGCATCAGTGTGTGTGTTGAAGTTCTTTGTGATGAGGGAAAGATTTGAGGTGGACAGACTAGAAACAGGGTGCTGGACTCATGGAGGGAATCCTGGGGGTAATAGAGTGTGGCCACCAGGATCCAGATTGGCTGAACCTCCAAATTATAGAGGTTACTTAGGTATGGTAGTGGAGGGAGAATCTGGAAGTGGCCCCAGGGAGCACGGAGGATTCTGTCCTCCCCACCTTGACCAGCAAGTCAGGGGGTACCAGAAAAGGTGAAAAGGAAGCATTGTCAAGAGTAGGGGAGGCGCTTTCTGGGTGCCAGAAGATGGAAATGGATAAAGGAAGAGGATTAAAGTGAAAATGTTCATTGCTGAGCAGGCAGTCCATAGGTTACAGTGGAAAGCGGGGGAGGTCTGGAGCTTGACACTGAGGGCCTTGGGTTGTGGTGGACGACAGAACGTGAGCTGTGGGGATGGAGAACGTGTATGATAGCAGCTGGTGGTTGAGAATGAGTGAGATCGAGAGAGGAGAAACAGGAGTGATTCCAAGCAGTTTCAGTGGTTAGAGAGAGGACTGGAGGGAGCCAGGTAGTTAAACTGTTCCGGGTCTTGTGTGGAGGTCCAGCCTCAAGGCAAGTGAGGTCCTAGAAGGCTCAGCTCACAACTGAAAAGACAGTGAGGTGTGGGAGCCTGGAGGTATGGGAGGCAACAATTCTGCCTGCGCTAGAGAAGGATTATGTGAGGGTTGGGATGAAGAGGCAGGAAGTAGAAGGAATCTTAGACCTTGACAAGGCCTTGTTTTCCTAAATCTACTGTCCTGAATGCTGTCCACATCCAGAAAAAGGACTATGGAGTCTGAATGCAGATCGAAGCATGTTATTTGCACTCTCTTTTTTTTTCTTTCTTCTTTCTCGTGGTTTCCCTCATTGGTTCTGATTTTTCTTTACAACATGACTAATGTGAAAATAGATTTAATATGAATGTATATGTAGAGCCTATATCAAATTGCACACCATCTTGGGGTGAGGGGAGGGGAGAGATAGGGAGAAAATGTGGGACTCAAAATCTTATGGAAGTGAATGTTGGAAACTAAAAACAAATAAATTATAAAAAGAAGAAAAAGGAAAAGTATAGAATAAATTCAAGTAGAAAAAACCTCTCCTGGTCAGAAAGGTCATGCAGCATGGTGTATGGAGAACCAGGAAGATGTGGGGTCAGACTCTGCCTCTGACACATACGGTGTGTGATCCGGCACAATACCCTCAGCCCCTCAGTGACACAGGCAGTGCCCTGAGGCCAACCATTGCAAAGAAGGGCCCGGCCTGCATCTGTGGGGGGAGGTGCCTGCTCCCCCGTAATCCTTTCTGTCTCTCCTCCTTCTTGGGCTGATTGATCTTGTCATTTGTGTTCAGCTGTCCCTTTTCCTGTGCTCACTGTAAAGTACAAGACTTCATTTGTGATGCCTTGAGTCGAAGCCATACAGACTTCACTGGTATTCTGTCTAGGTGCCCTGTTCCATTCAGATCACAGCTATTTATAGCAAAGTAAGGCCTTGTTCTTCACTCCATGGCTCATATTTTCATCATAACTTTTGGAAATAAATTAATCCTTAATTAGTATCCCTTAAAATTCATTAGTGGCCCCCTGTTCTGCCAATTCATGTTCATGATTTGACTTGTTTTTTCTTGGTCCCAAAGGGCAGAAGTAGGAGCAGTGTTCTGTCACATAAAGATTGTTAGTTATTGATGGAAGAGACAGAAAATAGGATACTACATGTAAAGCTGGCTGAGTAAAGAGCATTTATGTTTTTTATTTTTTTCAGACTGGGAAGCTAGGTCTGAAACCAAGGAGTCGCCTCCAAAACTGGGTCTTTCTGTGCAAGAATCATCCCAGGAAAGACTCACCAAGAATAGTCCCTCCATGTCCAGATTGGGAAAAAACCAGGCAAAAGACACCAGGTTATTGAGGCAGCAAAAGGATAAGAAGCAGCCTCCCAGACAGAAAACCAGTATCCAGAGGAAAAGGTCCAGTAAAGTGAGGAACCCCAAGCATGACAAATGTTACCGAAGCTTGAGTCCAGAACCAGCCCTTCTGCCACAGCAAAGAGAATCAGCCACAAAGAGTCTCCATAAACATGATATACACAGAAAGAACCTCAGAATGTATTCAGACCTAAGAAAATGTAAGAAAATCTGCCCAAAGAAGGCATTATCTAAATTTAAAGAATGCGGGGAATCCTTCAGTAACAATGAAAGTGAAAAAACTGGAGAGAAACCTTTTGTATGTAATGAATGTGGGAAAGGCTTCTTTCAGAAGATGTGTCTTATTCAGCATAAGAGAAGTCATACTGGGGAAAGACCTTATGAGTGTGGTCAGTGTGGGAAGGCCTTCTATCAGCAAGGACACCTTATTCAACATCAGTCAATTCACACTGGAGAAAAACCTTTTAAATGTAATGAATGCTCTAAAGTGTTTCGCCTAAGTACAGGGCTTGTTGAACATCAGAAAATTCATACTGGAGAGAAACCTTATAAATGTAATGAATGTGGGAAAGCCTTCCGCCATGGATCACATCTCACTCAACATCAGAGAATTCACACTGGAGAAAAACCTTATGAATGTAATGAATGCGGAAAGAATTTCCGCCATAGTTCACACCTTACTCAACATCAGAGAATTCATACAGGAGATAGACCTTATAAATGTAAAGAATGTGGAAAAGCCTTCCGCCATGGTTCACAGCTTACTCAACATCAAAGAATCCATACTGGAGAGAAACCTTACGAATGTAAAGTTTGTGGAAAGGCATTCAGACAAAGTACACAACTTACTGCACATCAGACAATTCACACTGGAGAGAAACCTTATGAATGTAGTGAGTGTGGGAAGGTGTTCCGCCAGAGTATACAACTTACTACACACCAGAGAATTCATACTGGAGAAAAACCTTATGAGTGTGATGAGTGTGGGAAGTCCTTCCGTTTGGGCACAAGCCTTAGTGAACATCAGAGAATTCATACTGGAGAGAAACCCTATAAATGTAATGAATGTGGAAAGGCCTTCCGCCTAGGCACAAGACTCAGTGAACATCAGAGGATTCATACTGGAGAGAAACCTTATGAATGTTCTGAGTGTGGAAAGGCCTTTGGCCATAGCTCACAACTTACTCTACATCAGAGGATTCACACTGGAGAGAAACCTTATGAATGTAAGGAATGTGGCAAGTCCTTCAGGCAGAGTATACAACTGACCCTGCACCAGAGGATTCATACTGGAGAGAAACCTTATGAGTGTAATGAATGTGGGAAGACCTTCCGACAGAGCACACAACTTACCGTACACCAGAAAATTCATAGTGGAGAAAAACCTTATAGATGTGATGAATGTGGGAAGGCCTTCCGCCAGAACACACAGCTTACTGTACATCAGACGATTCACAGTGGAGAGAAACCTTATAAATGCTTGGAATGTGGCAAGTTCTTCCGCCTGAGCACAGGACTGAGTGAACATCAGAGAATTCATACAGGAGAAAAACCTTATAACTGTAATGAATGTGGGAAGACCTTCCGCCATAGTTCACACCTTACTCGCCATCAGATGATACATACTGGGAAAAAGCCTTTTGAATGTAGTGAATGTGGGAAGTCTTTCCCCCAAAGTGCCCAACTTAGCCGGCATGAGAGAATCCATACTAGAGAGAAGCCCTATAAATGCTTTGAATGTGAGAAGGCCTTCCGCCAGCACTCCCAGCTGACTCGACATAATAAAATTCATGCTAGAGATAAACCCAATGACTCTAACAAATGTGGGAAGGCTTCCAAAGAGCCCAGAGCTCTCAACAGAAATTGAAACCTGCATCCTTGAGAGAAACTTTTGAGTGTAATGAATGTAAGAATAGTAGGCAGCTGGTTGGAAATGTCAGCAAGGTAGCGTAGTGGATAGACCCTTGGACCTGGCACCAAGAAAAACTGAGTTCCAATCTGGCCTCTGAACCTTCCCAACTACCTGACACTGGGCAAGTCACTATTTAATCTCTATCAGTCTCAATTGTCTCATCTGTAAATGAGCATGATACTACCACCCACCTCTCAGTATTGTAGTGAAGTTAAAATGGATAATATTTGTAAAGTGCTTAGCAAACCTTACAAGCACTGTGTACATGTTTCCAATCCAAACCACCACCACCACCACCACCAATAACTTCTTGTTGATTAATTGAATATTGGCCTGCAGTTGAACAGGACTTAGTCAACATTGAGGAATGCATAATGGTGAGAAACTGTAGCAGTGTAACGATTGAGGAAAGGCCTTCTTCCAGAACACAGAACTCACTGGCTGTCAGGTAATTCAAACTGGAGGGAAGCATGATTCCTTGGATTGTCACAAATGCAGAGCTATAAGTGCCCTGGAGATCTGGTCCAGTCCCTTTTAAAGATGAGAAAACTGAGGTCTAAAGAGTTTAAATGATGTGAAGCCAGGTTGTCAGTGGCAGAATGTGGATTTGAACATAGATTTTCTGACTCCAAGTCCAGTATTCTTCAATTCTTCAAATTCTTCCAAATTCAGCCAGAGCCACTTGGGAGAATTTAACCTAAGTGGAAGCCCTACAGATAAGGCATTTCCCTGTCTAGTTTCCCCATGGGGGTTGTTCTAACCCATTTCCCAAGCTGTCTAGTTCCCAGCCACCTCCCTCCCTCACACAGCAGGCGATTGAGACTTTTGCAACCTGACATTCTCTGAGGCCTCCCAAATGCCCAGCCCTCCCCCTCTACTCCTGCCTTCAGGAGACCACCAATGTATTCCCCTCCCTCACCTAAGCCCAATGTGAGAAGAGCCTGGGGACTGAAGGCTTCCTTAATGTAGCTCTGAGAACAGTGACTTTGTAATTCCTTCACCCCACTCCTCTCAAATCCAGAAGATTCACGACTCCCCTCCCTATATCTGAGGTGCTTCCCTGCTTTCCCCTCTGTCACCCAGACCACAAAGGTCTCTTTCCTCAGTCCCAGCCATGAGTCTAAACATAACCTCCCAGGTGGTGTGGTCACTCCTACTCGAACCAGCTCCTGTTTGTGTGACCTGGCCAGTCTGCCTCTCTCATCCCTTTAGGAATTACGGATCCCTAGAGTGTTATCAAAAGCAAAGCTTCCTATCCAGAAATGTTCTTTGCAACATTATTTGTAGTCAAAGATAAGCTGGGATCACCAGAGGCCTGTGGTGCATAATAGCGAGTGTTTCTATAGCACTTTGAAAGTTTGCAAAGCACTTTACAAACATAATCTCACTGGATTCTCAGACCAGCTGTTAGGCAGGTGTTGGTGTTGTCCCCTCTGTCCCTGGTAACAGTAAGTATCTGAGGCAGAATTCAGACTTGGGGTAGCCTAACTACCTGTCCAGCACTTTCAAGTGCACCCCCTCGTTGCCCAATACTGACACCAACCATTACAAAGTACTTCACACGTGTTATTTTTATCCTTAGAGCAACCTGGGAGGCAGAAGCTCTTGTTATCCCAATTTTACAGCGGAGGAAACTGACACATAATTTAAGTGACTTGCTCAGAGTTAAACAGCTAGTAAGTGTCTGAGGTTGGATTTGAACTCAGGTCTCCCTGACACCATGTCCAGCACTCTCTCCACTTCGCCATCACTTCCTAGAGGTGAGACATGAATGGTGGGTAATCTGGCAGAGAGACGTAAGAATCGGGAAGAAAAGGAATCAGGACAAACTGATCTTCTTAAAACAAGTCTGACCATGGCCCCACCCCCACACCATTTAATCGGCCCCACTGGCTCCCGACTCCCTGTAGGATCAAATGTAAAATCCTCTTTGACATTTAAAGCCCTTCCTAACCTTCCTGTCTTCCACATCCTCTTCCCCAAAGTGCCACTGGTCTCTTGATGTTCCTTGCACAACATGTTCCATCTCTGGAGTCTGAGTGTTTTCACTGGCTATCTGCCATGCTTGGAGATCTCTCCCTCTTCATCTCCTCCTCCTCCTGACTTCCTCTGAGTCCTGCTTGATGAAGAGTCTTCCCTCTCTGATTATCTCCAATTTATCCTGTATATATCTGGTTTTTATATGGTTGCATGCATGTTGTCTCCTCTATTAAACTATGAACTCCTTGGAGCAGGGACTCTGCTTTTTTTTTTTTTTTGCAGACCCAGTTTTTTAGCACAGAGCTTAGCACACATGTACTTAGTAAATGCTTGCTGCTGTAACCATGCCCACGAACACATGTAGCAATAAAACAAAGAAAAAAGGGAAGTAAATTAGTTCACTGCTCCTCCCAAAGTTTCTCCCAAGTCATCATTATTTAGTCATTCTCTGCTAAATTCTCTTTTTTTAAATATATTTTTTATTTTGTTAAACATTTCTCAATTACATGTAAAAATTTTAACATTGATTTTTTTTTAAATTGAATTCCAAATTCCCTCCCCACTTTGCAACTCTCCTCCCTTGAGGAGTCAAGCAATTTGATAGAGATATTTTAAACTTAAATATAAAATTTTAAAAAACTTAAATATTATAACTTAAATATATAATAAGAAAAAAACATTGCCATGTGCACAGCAGGTCATAAGAGAGGATTCAAAATATAAAGCAATAAATTTCCATTTCAAGAAAGCCTATATAACAAATACTACACATTGTGTTCAGAGCTGTCCCTCTTTTCTTTGCTGGTTTTATGTACTCTGTTATGCACTTCCCCCCCCCCCCCCACCTCTCCTTCTCTGCAAAGAAGGCTACAGTTAAGTGTGGATATATTCACACACACACACACACACACACGCATGCACATATGCATATATATATGCACACAAACACAAGCATATACATGCATATATACATATGCATACATATACACAGATATCTATAATCAGACAGTGGTCCCTATTCTTTCTGGCTCTCCCTCTCATCACCTGTTTATTACCTCTTTCCCTAGTTCCTGTTTGTTACCTGTTTCCCTTTGGTTAATTTTCTTAGCTCTTATCTGGTTATTTAATTCTTTCTCTTCCCCCCCCCTCAGTCAAATATATTCCACCTTCCTCTCCTCTCCTTCAACTAGTCCTGTTCATTACCCTTCATGTGACAGCTCATACCAAGTTCTTCACATGCAGGGGTGTTCCACCTCTCACTACTCCATGGCAACACCAGTCAAATGTATATGTCAAAAATACAGATCTTCGTTTTCATGAGAAACAAGGTCATTGAAGGAGCATTGTGATTTCCTGAAGGCAACATAGCCCTTTTGCCTCTTACTGTTCAGTCTCAGAGCCCACTCATCCATCTGCATTGTCTGTCCCAGACAGACGTAGAGATGGACAGACAATAGAGTGTCAATCCACATCTGGGAAAGATCTTCTTTTCTCCCAAATTCCCTTACTGTCTTACAGATTTCTTCCAGAAAGTTATGCCATAGCCACACCCAGAGAAAGAACTATAGAATCTGAGTACAGATGGAAGCAGACTATCTATTCTCCTTTTCCTTTGTCGTTTTGTTTCATTGCTTCATTCTCATGGTTCCTCCCATCAGTTCTAGTTGTTCTTTACATCATGACTAATGGGAAATATGCTTAACACAGGTATGTATATGTACAGCCTATATTGGATTGTACACCATCTGTGTGGGGGAGGGGGAGAAAATTTAAAACTCAAAATCTTATGGAAGTGAATGTTGAAAACTAAAAATAAATAAATTTAGACAAAAAAATACAGAAGGTTATGCCATCTTCTGGGGTTTGGTTGAATCATCATGCTGTTTTCTACAGACCGGAGCCCCACAAGGATCTCCCCATGAAATCCCTCTTTAACCTGAATTTTGCACCAATCTCCTACATGGTGGCAAACACCTTGGGCAAGCCTAGCTCTCTGCTCCATGCCTCTTCTAATGTTTACCACTGGAGGGCTACTGAGTAGGAGTCTTTTTGGTTTTTTTCTGTCTTCCAAGGAATCTTGAATGGTCTTTGAGTACAGATGGGAGATGCGTTTTTGTAAAACAACTACAAAAACAAGCCGGTAAAGCAGCATCTGTTTCATGGAATCATTTTTTTGGTCATCAACAATCACAATGGGTTCTTATGTTAATAATATATTATTTCAGTTCATTATGAAATGGCAAAGATGTGGTCCATTGTTGAATATCACTGGTGAATGACTGCATGTTCCCACACAGTACCTGAGTCACGCATGCCTTAAATATTTCAAACTTCCTTTAAGATGGTTTTATGTTCTACTGATCCTCTGTATAGCAGCCAAAGCTCTCTAAAAGGATGAGTTGTGTGGTATCGCTATCATGCCACTAAAGAAATAAAAGCAAAAACCAACACTACACAATAACTTACATATTCAAGTGAGATTTACTGAAGAATTTAGCACAGGCTGCTGGGCACCAAAATGATGATGATTGCTGAACTGCAACTCCTTTCAAGAATGCCCTAGAGTCAATGACATTCTAGCTCTGTCTTTCCTATCTTTCAACAGTGAGCTTTGGCAACAATGCTTCTTCAGCAGTGATACAGGAGCCTGATTTACTCTCTCTTCTGGAGAAAAGGCTTCATTTCCCATCTTCCGAAGGCAAGTTCTCACCTTTGAGTTTGGCCTCGAAGACTTGGAGACCACCCACTGACCAGGATACATGTAGCTGAGCCTATGGCCAGTCTTTTCTGAAATGAGTGATTTTTAAGGCAACTCAACATGCCCAGCAGTCTTAGACACATACAGCTATTATCTGGGTGGAAGGTGCGTCTTGGGTAACTTTTCATAATTCCCTTAAAGATGAGACACACCTTGAGACATAGATGTTGTTATCTCAGGTTGGGAAGCATGTCCTCAGAGAGCAGATGTTAATAATTATCCTGAGATTGAGTACAGAAAAAGCTACTGCTATTTTTATGTGTGCAGGGGAGAAACAGGGGAATGGGAAGGGGAACATCTCAGCACCAATAAGGCTTCTAGCAAGTTACAAAAGAAGAAAAATACCTATTGCATTAATAATAGGCTGGCTAAGAGGTTACAAGTGGTTAGGAACTTCTTCAAAGAAAACTCAACATGCAAATGTTTATATTTTTATTTTTATTTCTATTTAGTTCATTACACTAATACAAGTGTTTTTTCCTACTTAACAAGTGAATCTCTCAAACTGAGGCATTGCCTGAGTCAATTCCAGGATACAGTAATAAATGTATCCATTCTTATAAAGGGGTCAATCCATCACTTAGACTTATTTCTACAGGCAGAAATTCAGATGTCAGTGTCACAAGAAATGGGGAAGTGGGCTATAGTAGTCCCACGAGGAACTACTTAAGAAAAAAGGCCACCACAGTTATTTTGTTTTAGTCTTCTTTAGCTTTAGGTAAACTTTTTTGATGTCTTCTTGTTATGTGCAATTTTTTTTAGCCTTAACCTGTGATTTCATCACTGTACAGAACTTCCTCCAAAGATACAGATCAGTAGTTAAACAAAAACCTTAGTGATACAGTTGCCTGTGACACTCAGACCAAGTGACTTTCCCATGATCATACAGAAAAATATATCATCAGAAGCAAGATTTGAACTGAAGGCTTCAAATTCCTAGGGTAGCCTTCTATTCATTATTCTATGCCACCTGTCATGGATTTACCTTCTTTAAATTTCTTTGATGAGTGTACATGTCAAATGTCTTGTTCACTCCCAGCTTCTTCAGAAAGAAATTCCAATCCCCCTTTTTTTTTTTTTGCTTAAAATTGACCTTTTTTCACTGATAGTCAAACTCAACTTTGCATGATGTTATTTTGGGGCTCAAACTAATCTGCTTTGCTTTTCAGATGATCAATTTCATTTTTTTCCCCCATTTCTTGTGAACAGGGAATGGTCTTATGGAACTTAGATTGCTTTTCTTTGAAAATGTAAAATGCTTCTTCTGGATGATTTCTATAATATTTGTTTAATGTTGAAGTTCTGAAGCTTGACTTGCACATTTCTGGGGCAGCTAAACTTCAGATTTCTCTTTTAGCAACCTATGGATGCTACTGATTTGTGCCTTACCCTCTATTTTTAGGGGTTTGGGGCAGTTTTCATCTTTGATTTACTGAAGGATGATTTTTAGGAATTTTATCATGATTTTATGAAAGACTTACAATTCTCAGATTATCGTTCGGCATTTTGTCTTCTTCCAGAGAAGTCAGTTATTCTTACAAGAAGACTTACTTTGTTCTGGAATCCTTCCATTGTTGTGCTTTCCAGTTCCAGATCTGTGGTTCAGTTTTTCAGAGAATCAGCAGTTCTGGAGGAATTCTCCAAATGCTTTGTTACCTATTCCTTGGTGTCTTTTTGGATATCTTTCAGATTTCTGCATTAATTTCCATCCTTATTAACTCTTTCAATTTTTAAAAAAAATTGCCCTTCTAAAACTATTTCAGAGGTCCTTTCCCTTGTTCTCATATTTTGAGGGACTTTGTACTAGTTGTACTACCTTTCTCCTCATTTACAATCTTCAAATTATTTTATTTTACTGCACAATAGTTACTCCCTGTATTATAGTCTCTTTGGGGTTACTGAATCATTTTTATTATTGTCTTTCTGCTACTTATGCTAATGATTTCCCCCTACACAGTGTTATATCTGGTTGTTCTTTAGTTCTGCCACATGGTGGAAGAGAGCTGAGCTTAGACAATATTACATTCAGCCATTTGCTTGAAGTCTTAAAATTAGACTTTTGAGAGAGCTAATTTTTTAAAGTGGTTGCGATAGAACCTCAATTGCAAGGTGTTCAGATGTTGGGTGTGAAGATATGAAAAAAGTAGAAAGACAAGAATTTTCAATTTTTTTTTTCAACGAAAGGGAGAAAGGACAGTACTGGATGGAAGGTCAGGAATAGTCTTTTTCCCTTAACACTGGGGAGACTTCAGTATGTACATAGGTAAGAAAGGGCCAGTGGGAGGGATAGGTGAGGGCTGCATGAGAAAGGGTTACTGGAGTAAAGTCCTAGAATATGCAGATGGGGATGGGATCAAGGGAACAAGAAAAATAATTTGCTTCAGCAAGAAGCAGATCACTTTTCTTCTGTGAATGGAAGGAAGGAGTAAAAAGTGGTTAATGAAGCTGAAAACTTGTGAGATAGGGCCCTGTTAGAGACCCTTAACTTACTGAGAATACATTGGCAAAAATCAGCAGCTACAAATATGTGAAATAGGAATGGCAGACGGCTAGGAATTTGAGGATAAAGGATGGTAAGAAGTTAGGGGTTTCCCTCAAATATAGGGTTTCCTACTGGTTTGCATTCATTGTCAAAGTGACAGGGATTAGGGAGAAATGTAATGAGTTCTGCCTTGGGCATTTGATTTTTAAGTTGTCTTCTCAACATCCAGTTCAAGATGTCTGAAAGGCAGTTGGAGATGTGATACTGGAGATTAGCAGAGTTTTGGGCAGGATAGGTAGAGTCATCAGCATACAGCTAGTAATTAAATCCATGGAGGTTATGAGATTACCAAGTTGATTGAAGTAGATTGAGAAGAGACACTAGGACAGAAACCTGTGGGACACCTACGGTGACCTGCAAAAGTATCCAGCAAAGGAGACTGAGAAGCATTCAGGGAGGTAGAAAAACCAGGAGATGAGAATATCCAGGAGACGGTGATTAACACTGTAAAAGGCTGCACAGTGTCAAGGAGAATGAAGATAGATAAAAGGTTTTGGGATTTGGCAACTAAGAGATGACTGATAGATTTGCAGAGTAATTCCAATGGAATGATGAGGTTGGAAGATGGATTGTAAAGGGTTAAGAATTGAATACGAGAGAAAGTGGAGGCACCACTTTTATTGTAGACCAAGGAATTCTGCCACAAAGGGCAGAGACGACAGCTGAAGATGGTTAGTGATACTTAAAAGGAATGGAAGGATGAACGGAGGGCTTTTTGAACATGGACATGTCTAAAAGCAGTAGGGAAGGAAACAACCCTAAGATGGTCATTTCCTAAAGAAAATCCCCTATCTCTTGTTGGGTCTCCCCATGCCTTTCTTTTCCTTCTCCATACCCACAGCCTACTGGGTGTTCCCAGCTCCTCCCTGGGTCCATCGCTAGGGCTTGAACCTATGCTAATAGAAAAGGGGCTGGGGAAAGCCTTGAGTGAATCTCACTGAAGGTACTAGGAACAAAGCAAGGTGATGAATCATCACCTAGCCCAGGGACCAGGCAACCCCCATAACACACACATTTAGCATTCCCTGGTAGCCTCAGAGTCAATGTCACAAAGAATTGGGCTAAGCCTTGAGATTAGAATAATGCCTTGCAGGTAGAAGGCACTTAATAATATTCATTAAATTGAATTGATATCAACAGGGGAGCCTGCCAGCAGTACTGTGAAGACAATCTGGGGTCCTTTCCTCAGCATTTTTAACCTTATTCTGAAAACCTGGTATTATAGTGACTATTCAAATTAAACATTACATTTTCAATGGAAAACAATTTTTATTCTACACTGTATCAACAAAATACTCAATATAAGAATGACTGTTCACACGTGAAACTTAGTTTATTTTTTAAACATCTTGATGTTTACCACAGAGCATCTCAAAAGTTCTCTTTGCTTCTGCACATTTGCCTGGGTGGTGCTATTATTTACATAGTTGTTGGCAGTGTGTGCATTGCTATTCAGATTCTGTTTCCTTCTCACTAACTTCCCTTTATGAAAGGCTTCCCACACAATTCTGTGTTCTTCATAGCATCACTGTCACAGTCATGTACTAATTTGCCCAGCTGATTCCCTAATCTTTGGACATATGGGTTGTTTCCAGGTTTTTATTCTCATGAATTGTGTTTCAAAGAATAATTTTATAGCAGCAGGTATCTTCCCACCTCACCACCCCCCATCACAAATATCCTCAAGGTTGACTGTCTTCATAGACAAGTCACTGGGCCAAAGAGGTATGGATGGTTTTATAGCTCATGCCAAATAGCTTTGCAGAAAACACCCACCCCCAGCTTACCAGGCAATGGAACTGTGTGCTTATTACTCTGGCTACACCATTATTGGAATTTATCACTTTAAATGACCTAGTTAGTTTGGTGGATGATAGATGGCATTTTATATCTCTAATTGCTTTATTCTGAGGATCTGATTGAGATTGAATCATTTTTCATGTGGTCATTTACAGTGACAGGTGGTCTTTTCTTTCAGGAGACATTTGTTCACCAAGCCCCTAGCATCTCCCTCACAGGGTTGTCATGAAGATCAAATAAGATAATATTTGTAAAATGCTTAGGACAATGTCTGGCACTTAGTAGGGCACTATATAAATACTATCGATTATTATCATACCCTACAGGAGGAATCCAACCTTTGTCAGAAACCTCTAGAGAGGGGCGTAGTGTAATCATAGGTCTTCAGAACTGGAAGGAACCGCAGAGATATCTGTCCAACCAATACCCCAAAATAATCCCTTTCATCATGTACTTGAAAGGTGGTCATCTAGTCTCTGCTTGGAGACTTTTAATGAAGGGAAGACCACTAATTCCCAAAGCAATCCATTCTACCTATAGATTATTCTAATTGTAAGTTCTTCCTTATATCCGCCCTACATCTGATTCTTTACATCTTCATTCCAACCTCTGGAACCAAACAAAATAAACTGAATGCCTCTTCCACATGACAGCCTTTCACATGCTTGAGGACAGGTATCATGTCATTCTTCAATATTCTTCAAATTAAACACCCTCAGTTCCTTCAACTAGTTCTCGTAAGACATAGACTAAAAGTCATTCAACTAGCTCTCAAAGACTCAAAAGTCATTCATCATCTTGGTTCCTTTTTTCTGGACACTCCATTTATCAATGTCCTTCCTAAACTGTGGTGCCCAAAATTAAACACAATACTCCAGATGTGGATGGACCATGGCAGAGGACAGAGGGACTGAATTTCTGAATCTTTTGTCTCTCTTAATACAGTCTGAGGTTACATTATCCCGACTTGGAGTCAGGACACTCACAGGCTGTTTGCTCGTGGGGAAATGGCTTAATTCCTCAGTGCAACAGTTTCTCCAGCTCTAAGATGGAAGCAACAATACTTGCATTACCGACTTGTAGGATGAGTGCTTGGCAGTTTAGATGTATTATTATTACTATTGACCAAGAGAATGGTATCACAAAGAAAATGATGCAGGAAGTATACAGAAGAAAAGGACAGATAACTATGTCAAATAGTCCACAGAGGTAAAGGAGGATTTGGATTGAACAAAAAGGCTGTTGTATTTACTCATCAAATCATCAGTGACTTGTCAAAGCTATTTCAGTAAAGGAGTTGGGCCAGAAAATGGATTGCATGGCATTGAGATAGTGAGTGATAAAGAATTGGAGGCAGAACAGCTGTGTGACAATGGGCAGTTCACTGAACCTTTCAAAGCCTCCATGGTCTCATCTGTAAAATACAGATAACAAGGCACTGATTTCACAATGTTGATCAAAGAATTGCTTTGCAATAGAACAAACACTCTATAATCTTTAAAACACTACAAATGTCAGTTATTATTATTATTGTCAACTTTTTAAATGAGTTTGGCAATGAAAGGGAGAAAACAGGTGAGATAATAGCATGACTGGGGACACAATAAATTGGGAATACCTGACTATGTTTTGTAGTCAGCTAGGAAACAGCCAATGTATGGGTTTGAGATACATGTCAGAGAACAGTAGGCTGCTGGAAGACAACCATGGAGTGAGCAGGAGGCAATCTGTCAAAGGCACAGGCAAAGGAACGGCTTTAATAAAGAGTAGGCAGATCTTTTCGGTGACACTAGCAAGGAAGAAAGAATAGTTGGCAAGTCTAAGAGCTATTGAGAAATGGAATTAAAGAAGCAAATTCCAATAAGACTGCCACGATATTCTCAGCAAACTAGGAGCAGAAATTATGTTATAAGTGTGGGGAGTTGGAAGAAGGAGGGAGCTGGAGACTGAGAGGGGAAGGATCAGATGCAGCCACTGGGGGAAATTAAACAAGGATTTAATCAATCTATAAGATTTCCCTGTACTTCGAGTTATCCAATTTCCCACAAAGTGTGTAATCTAACCAATATCCTTCACACTTTGTTATATTCCTAAAGCTTTGCCTTCATAAGGCTTCTCTTCAGTGTGAATCCTGTAATGCTGAGTAAGGTGCTTGCTTAGGCTAAAGGCCTTCCCACATTCCTCACATGCATATGGTTTTTCCCCACTATGTATTCTCTGATGTTCAGCCAGTCCTGTGCTCAATCGGAAGGCCTTTCCACAGTCATTACATTTATAAGGTTTCTCTCCAGTATGAATCCTCAGATGTTCAGAAAGTCCTGTGCTTCTGCTAAAGGCCTTTCCACATTCATTACATTCATAAGGTTTTTCACCAGTATGAACTGTTTGATGTTGAGTAAGGTGAGCTCTCTGTCGAAAGGGTTTCCCACATTCATTACATTCATAAGGTTTCTCTCCAGTGTGAATTCGCTGGTGTCGATTAAGTTGTGTGCTCAGGGTGAAGGACTTCCCACATTCAATGCATTCATATGGTTTCTCTCCAGTATGATTTCTCTGATGTTCAGTAAGTCCAATGCTTAGGCGGAAGGCCTTCCCACACTTCATTACATTTATATGGTTTCTCTCCAGTATGAATTCTCTGATGTTCAGCCAGTCCTGTGCTACGGCGGAATGCCTTCCCACATTCACTACATTCATAAGGCTTCTCTCCAGTATGAATTGTCTGATGTCGAGTAAGTTCTGTGCTCCGTCGAAAGGCTTTCCCACATTCATTGCATTCATAAGGCTTTTCTCCTGTGTGTATTATTTGATGCCGAGTAAGTTGTGAGCTTTGACGGAAGGTCTTCCCACATTCACTACATTCATAAGGTTTCTCTCCAGTATGGATTATTTGATGTTGAGTAAGCTGTGAGCTTTGGCGGAAGGTCTTCCCACACTCATTACATTCATAAGGTTTCTCTCCAGTGTGGATTACCTGATGTCGAGTAAGCTGTGAGTTCTGTCGGAAGGCTTTCCCACACTCATTACACTCATAAGCTCTCTCACCAGTATGAACTGATTGATGCTGAGTAAGTCCTGCACTCTGGCGAAAGGTTTTCCCACATTCGTTACATTTATATGGTTTCTCACCAGTATGAATTCTCTGATGTACTGCAAGTCGTGTGCTCAGGCTAAAGGCTTTCCCACATTCATTGCATTCATAAGGCTTCTCTCCAGTATGAACTGTCTGATGTTGAGTAAGCCCTGCACTCTGGTGGAAGCCCTTTCCACACTCATTACATACGTAAGGTTTCTCTCCAGTATGGATTGTCTGATGTCGGTTCAGCTGTGAGCTCTGGCGGAAGGTTTTCCCACACTGATTACATTCATAAGGTTTCTCACCAGTGTGAATTCTTTGATGTTCTGTGAGCTGTGAGCTTCGCCGGAAGGCCTTCTCACATTCATTACACTGATAAGGTTTCTCTCCAGTGTGAATTCTCTTATGTACAGTAAGTTGTGTGCTCCAGTGGAAGGCCTTCCCACATTCATGACATTCATAAGCTTTCTCTCCACTGTGAATTCTCTGATGCTGAATAAGTACTGTGCTCTGATGGAAGGCCTTTCCACATTCATTGCATTTATAAGGCTTCTCTCCGGTGTGAATTCTCTGATGTTGAATAAGCTGTGAGTTCCAGTGGAAGGCTTTCCCACATTCATTACATTCATAAAGTTTCTCTCCAGTATGAATTCTCTGATGTTGAATGAGCTGTGAGCTCTGGCTGAAAGCCTTCCTGCATTCATTACATTCATAAGGCTTCTCCCCAGTATGAATTCTCTGATGAATTCTAAGTTGTATACTCTGGCAGAAGGCCTTCCCACATTCATTACATTCATAAGGTTTCTCTGCAGCATGGATTCTTTGATATTCAACCAAGTCTGAATTATAACTGGAAGGTTTCTCACATTCATTATACTTAGGAAAAATCTTCTTTGAATAAGGTCTATTACGTTTTCTTAGGTCTGAATATATCCTAAAGCTCTTTCTGTGTCTATCATGTTTACAGAGATGCTTTCCTAAGGATACTCTCTGATGTGGAAAAAGGACTGAATCCAAACTGAAGCTTCTTCCACATGTATTAGATTCTTGGCCTCTCACTTTACTGAGAGTTTTCCTTTGGGTGATTTTTAATCGTCCAGAATATTTCTCCTCATTGTCCTGCTGTCTTTCTAATACGACATCACACTTCCAAGTTTCTCCCAACTGAGAGACATAGGAAATGTCATTTTTGATTCTTTCTTGGGATGACTCTTCGATAGAAAGGCCTTGTTTTGTAGTTATCTCCTGGGTTCCATTGCTTGTCTTCTGATCTGAAAGAAATTAAAAACATAAATTCCCATGCTCCCAAAGTTGTACATGTAGTTTTTTCCTTCACCAAGAAAAACTGAGGCACCTAGACAAGTCAGTGGCTTGAGTTCTGGAGCTGTAGTTAGGAAGACCTGATTTCAAGTCCAGTGTCAGCCACGTGACTCTAGCTATGTGACTCTCAGTCACTTAGCCTCTGTTTGCCTCAGTTTTCTCATCTGTGAAATGGTCATAATGACAGCACCCACCTCCAGGGTTGTGGTGAGGATAAAATGAGATAGCTGCAAAGGACTTTATAAACTTTAAGGTGCTATATAAATAGTGGCAATCATCAAATCATCATTATAAAACTGTCAAACTTTAAACTGCAGAACCAATAATAATTCAACCTGATATTTGTAATATTGCTGTGAAGAAAGCAATTCCCAGCCTTTAAGGCTTACACATGTGAGTCAGTACAATCGTGTCATTTTATAACTACGTACTGCTCCTGGTGTTCTTCCTGCTCACAGCAGCTTTTCACACAGAAGCTTACTGTAGCCTTTTGTGAGGCAGCGAGGTGCTCTTTCTGTTACCCCACAGTCCTTCTCTACCACGTGAATATACTGGTTTTGAATAGTTCTAAATGGCCAGACCAGAGGAAATCAAAGGAAACTCCAAAGAGGGCCAGTATCGGTTCAATATAATAATTATATAATATGAAGCAAAATAATGTAAAGAATTAATTCTTTTGAGGTTTGGTTCCTATGAAAAATAGCTAAAGAACTCTCTTCCACAAATTGGAAACACTTAGGAAAAGGCTGCAGTGACTTGCACTGAATGTGGGTTTCTGCTTCTCTGCAATGGCCAAGTGATAATTATCTAGGCATGTTTAGATAGAGAACAAGAGGAAAGACAGAGTTTGGGGAGAGCATATTTCAAGGGTTCAGAGAGGAGATAAGTCAGATCCCGGTGGGGAATTCAGCCCAAAACGCTCAATGAAATTCTCAGAAAACAAAGAAACGCTTCTGATACAAAGGCAGCAAAGTGGTGAGAGCACTTCAGACCCTACAGGTGACTCAGGAACGTCACGTCATCGCTACGTGCCTCAGTCTCCTTCTCTGTAGAATGAGGGGATGAAACTTGACAGCTCTAAGCTCCCTGCCAGTTCTAAATCTGGTACCACGTGAAAAAGGAACTTTGTCCAAACAGACCCATGGATGCACAGAGCAGCCGGGGACCCTCAGGGAAGAGTAGAAGACAGGCACGGAAGACAGATGCAAGGAGAATGGGAAGGGAATAAGCACTTATCTATCACCTCACCACATGCCAGGCATCGTACTAAACGCTTTACAAACACAGTTTGATCCTCTCAACAGCCCCCCAAGAGAGGTGCTGCTGTGACTCCCCTTTACAGTTGAGGCAGACAGTGGTTAAGCGACTGAACACAGATTTGGTGCTCTGACCACTGTGCTTTTGTTGTTCAGTCATCTCAGTTGCGTCTGACTCTTTACGACTGCATCTAGTATTTTCCTGGCAAAGATACTGCAGTAGTTTGCTATTTCCTTCTTCAGGTCAGTTTTTACAGATGAGGCAGAGTTAAGTGACTTACCCAGGGTCACACAGCTAGTAAGTGTCTCAGGCTGATCTGAACTCAAGAAGGTGAGTCTTCCTGAATTGAGGCCCAGCACTCTATGCACTCTGGTGCCACCTAGATGCCCACATCCACCATGCTACCCAGGTGTAGATAAAATACAAAAACATCATAATGTCCTGAAAGAGTGATGTTAGGATTGTTAAAGTCTGGAATGAGCCGAGGCTGGTGAAGAAAGCTAAACTTACAAAAAGGAGAAGGTTTTTTGCATTAGGAGGTAAAAGAGGAGGCTCAACGCATGAATTACAGACTTCTCAGAGATGAAAGAGATTGCAGCCATCATACTGCCCAACCCAAACCTGAAAATAAATCCCCTCTTTAAGCAGCCTGGGCAATCAATCACTCAGTTATTGCTCTACGACTCCCGATGAAGTGGGACTCACTGTGCTGCCTCCACAGGCAGCCAATTCCACTTTGGAACCTGACCATAAGGGCTCTTCCCCAAGATCAAGCCTCAGAGCCTTCCTAAGCCCCAGTGGCTCCCGATCATGCCCGACTTCAAGCGGAACAAACTGACCTCTTCTCTACAAAGCAGCCTTTAGATCACTGAAAAGTTCTCATCTTTCCCAAGTCTTTTTTTCTCTGGGCTGAGGCATCCCTAGCTCCTTTACTTGGTCTCCCTATTGCATGGCCTTGCCATGCTCTTCCTCATACCATGGGTCCTCCACTGGACAGTCTCCATTGCATCATAACCCTTGCTGAAGCTCATTGCCCAGAATTAAACATAATATTCCAGATATGGCATGACAAAGGCAGACTACAGTTGGAGCATTACCTCTGCATCTCCAGAAGCTATGCCTCTTACAGGTCACGTGAGATTTCTTGTCTGCCATACAAGTGTTCATTCACATTGAGCATGCAGTTGACCAAAATCCGTAGATCTTTCTCAAAGTACTATCAACTCTCATCTCGTACAGCTTGTACTTGCAAAGTTAAATTCTTGGCCCCAAGTATAAGACTTTAAGATTTAGCCCTTTTAAATTTCATTTTATTAGATTCAGCCCAATATCTGTCAAGACCTCTTCCTATCATTCAGTGTGTTAACTATCTTTCTTAGCTTTGGGTTATATGGAAATTTAATAAACTAGCTATCTGCCTTTATCCAAGTCACTGATAATAACTGTCAAACAGCCAGGGCCCAGCACAGATCTTGGGGGGCTACACCAGAAGCTTTCCTCTAACCTGACCTTGAAGCTTCAATGAGTACTTTGAGTCCAGTCACTAAGCCAGTCCTGAATCCCATCTAAATGTGCTATCATCTGACCCTCCAGGTCATCTCACGAGAGGAGTATGACACACTGCATCCACTGCTTGGCTAAAATGTCAATGAACCAAATCTGCAGCATTCCCTCCACCATCGGGTCAGTAACCCTGTCAAAAAGTGAATGTGTGGAGAACAAGAGAGAGTATGCTCTTCATCAAGCCAGGTTGGCTTTTTGTGACCACCTCTTTCCTTCAAAAAAAATTTCTGAATTTAAGTACAAAAAGACAAAAAGGAAACATTTCTACATACACAGGCCAACACAAAATGAAGATTCAAGATGGAACCATGAATTGCCATTTCATACTGTATACTTAAAAAACAACCTATGTAATAAATACCAAACACATTGTTTTCAAAGCTACCCTGCTTTTCTGCGCCCCCTTCTGAGTTTTCTTTTGTTCTCTGCTATGCATGTTTTATTTTTTTCTCCCTCCCTCCCCACACTAGAGAAGGTCACCATTAGACACAGATATATATATGTGTGTGTGTGTGTGTGTGTGTGTGTGTGTGTGTGTGTGTGTGTGTGTATAAAGCCATATTATATATACTTCTATTTATCAATTCTTTCTCTGGAGGTGGATAGCATTTCCCTTCACAGTTCTTTTGTAGTTGATTTGAGTATTTATAATATTCAAAATAACATAAATAAGTTGTTCACAGTTATTCTTTGAACAATATTGCTATTACTGTATACAACATTCCTTAGTCCTGTTTCATTATTTCATGCAAGTCTTTCCATGTCTTTCTAAAATTAACCAGCACATCATTTTTTTTACATTCATTTTAAATCTATTTTCATATTAGTCATATTGTAAAGAAGAATTAGAACCAATGGGAAAACCATGAGAAAGAAGAAACAAAAAGAGAAAGCAAATAATATGCTTCAACCTGCATTCAGACTCTATAGTTCTTTCTCTGGATGTGGATGGCATTTTCCATCATGAGTCTTTTGGAACTGTCTTAGATCCTTGCATTGCTGAAATAAGCCAAGTCTATGAAAGTTAGTCATGCACATTGTGGCTGTTACTGTGTACAATATTCTCCTGGTTCTGCTCACTTCACTGAGCATCAGATCAGATATGTCTTTCCCGGTTTTTCTGAAGTCCGGCTGCTCATCATTTCTTATAGCACAATAGTATTCCATTACATTCACATACCACAACTTGTTCAGCCATTCCCCAATTGATGGGCATTCCCTCAATTTCAATTCTTTGCCACCACAAAAAGAGCTACCATAAATATTTTTGTATATGCAGATCCTTTTCCCATATTTATGATCTCTTTGGGATACAGACCTAGAAGTGGTATCAGCACATCATTTCTTATAGCATAGTAGCGTTCCATCACAATCATATATCACAACTGGTTTAGCCATTCCCCATTGATGGGCATTCCCTCAATTTCTAGTTCTTTGTCAACACAAAGAAAGCTGCTTTAAATATTTTAGAACATAGTGTTTTCTTTTTCCTTTTTCCCTGATCACCTTGGGAAGCAGACCTACTAGTGGTACTTCTGGGTCAAAGGGTATATACACAGTTTTATAACTCTCTGGGCATAATTCCAGGTTGCTCTCCAAAATGGTTGGGTCAGTTCATGGTTTCACCAACAGTGTATTAATGTCCCAATTTTTCTACATCCCCTCAAACATTTGTCATTTTCCACTTCTATCATTTTAGCCAATCTGATAGGTTTGAAATATCTCAAAGTTGTTTTAATTTACATTTCTCTAATCAATAATGATTTAGAGCATTTTTACATGACTATATATAACTTTGATTTCTTTATCCAAAAACTGCCTGTTCATATCCTTTGACCATTTCTCATTTGTGGAAAGACTCATATTATTATAAATTTGACAAAGTTCTCTATATAGTTGAGAAATGAGATCTTTATCTAGGAAACTGTCTATAAAATCCCCCCCTCCATTTTCTGCATTCTTTCTAATCTTGACCACATTTATTTGTAAAAAACCTTTTTAACTTAACTGATCAAAATTACCCACTTCACACCTCACAATTTTCTTTATTGTATTTATTTGTAAAGTCTTCTCTTATCCATAAGTCTGCTAGGTAATATGTTCCATGTCCTTCTAATTTTCTGATGTTATT